GTAACATGATCTCATTTACAGTTTCTACTTATGGTTTTCCTTCTTTCTGTTGTTTTTTTTGGCCAGTTTAGATTGTGTTTAGCTACTTTATTTCTTACCTTTCTGCTCCACTAATGTGTACTTATACTTTAATTATGAATCCTTCAGGAATTCTCATCCTTTTCTTCCCTTCTTGTTTCTGATAGCATGTTACCTACCAATTCCTGTTTATTGTCACCACTTCTTTTTTCCCTAATTCATAACCTTTAATTTGTTCTTCTCTCTCCTCCCTTTCCTAAAAGCTGCAAAGCTCCTCCAGTTCACAGTTGCAACAGGGAACTGCACACTTGGACATGCAATATTCTCTCGTCCGTATGAGTCGCCCCACTGTCTGCATTTCTGTTTTATCCCACCCTTCTGAAGGCACTGTGAAACAGCCTGTAGTGCTCAATCAGCCACACCCTCCTCAGCTGGATATCAACAAAGAACATGGTGACCAGAAAAACCTCATGTACCAACACATTAAGCCTAAAGTCACAGAAGGATAATTTCCTCAAATCTTAAACAGCATCCAAACAATAAAATAAGGCTCAAGTACTGGATAGGATCGCTACTCCCATTTTTCTGCAAACAACTTAGTGGGTCTGTTAGCAGGATGGATTCAACAACAGGCACAGAAACCTGTTGTGTTTTGTTCTTTTCTTTTGGTTTTGGGTTTGATTTTTTCTTTTATGTACTCCAGCAATATGAAAGCCCATGAGAGAGTGCCTTCTTCTCTACTACTTCAGTTGTCTCTGGGTCCAGCTCCAATACGTCCTTCCCCAAAACATTTCCTTCATTCTGATTTTGCATAGGTTATGTGCATGTGCTGACTATTTAACAACTTATTTTTCATAAGACACAGCTACACATACTTTTGGATATGGAGGTTATGGATGCAAAATCACTGCTGCAACTCCTGCTCTCTCACTGTTTGGCTTTTTAGGCATTGACAAAAAACTAGGCAGAAAGAAGATGTTCCGCTAAACTGCCAGCAAAACCTTCCAGCCCACAGATTTTCAGCACAGACAGCACAGACACCAATAACTCAGTCATTTTATCCTGACATAAGGTACAAAGACAACTCAAGGTTATTAACAGGGACTGATGATTTTAGGCCATTCATTTCCATTTAGGTGTTCCTTTACAACATACTATTCCTAGTGTTTCTCACTGTTTCTCATACTGATGTGGTCAGAATCATATTATTAAGTATGTAAAACATGCTTTCTGGTAAAAGGAGATTTTCCATTGTCTCTGTGGAGGATCACTACATGTCTGAGCTTGACAAACATTCTCACGAACTATCATGCTTCATAAATCCTAGCTGAGTATTTACCACGTTCTAGCACAGTAACCACTGTTAACAAGTGTACCCCTCTCTGTAAATACAGAAAAGCAGCATAAATTATCATGTTCAAGTAATTTACAAAGTATGCATGTTACAATAAACCAATTCTTCAGTAAGTTCACATAATTCTCACTTATCATGCCTCAAATACATTACGTTGTACTTTATATAGCAAAAGCTTTAACTAATGAATCTTATTCTTTAGAATTAAAAACATTCATGCTGTTGGGCAAATGATGACATCTCATTACAAATAGAGGTTTTTCTGAAAAAACAACTTTTTTTTTTTCCAACTTATATGCTACTTATTCTTTCCAGATCATTTTAGCACCAACACAGAAAATACTTTTCAGAAGCTCTCGTAATTAAGGTATAAGGTTTCTCACACACTAACACACACACAGCAATGTCTGGGTAGCAAACCCTGTAATAAAACATCCCCTGCCAATTCATATTACATCTTTATTATCAATGACGGGATAAATAAGCATGGCAAGAGTCACCCTTCACTGCAATCACTAAAGATCAAGTTATTCATGCAGGGAATTTAACTTGTCCGTCTGTTATTCCCATGATTTCTTTTTTGCTGTCGTTGACACAGAAAACCCAACGGCTCCAATTGCACACAAGCCATTGTTACCTTCTGCAGCCATTTTCAATCAGGGTGAGGATCTTTCTGATACTGCATCTCCACAGAAAGTGTGTCAAGGCTTGGTACAGCACACAAAAACAGCTTTAGTTAGTGCTTTGTGTTTTCCTGGTGTCTGCTCTAGGCAATGGAAACTTATTCTTTCCTGGTGACGCATTCTATTTTTTTGGGCTGTGCTTGCTCACACAAAATTTACCTGCAGAAGCAACCTCCCCCTTGCAAACATTTAGTTGTTGTGGGTTTTTTCACTATATTAAATGTAATTATCTTAACTTCTGCACCCAATATTGGTCCTAAACAATCTCTTTTCCTATACAGTACATTTAGACTCTGGAATATTGTGCCAAGCTCAAAATATCTTTAAATGCATATGCACACACACCTTCTCCTTCACTCCAAGTACTCTCTAGTCACTTATTAATATTTATTTTCCCTTAGTTATATAAAAAGCACAATAATGATGGGAACCAACCTCCACTGCTGAAGTGTTTCTCTAACAGACAATTGCCCAAGAATCACTCAGGTATCAAAATTCCACTTCCAGTAATACTAAATAGTAAATGTTTTATCAACCATCAGAGGGCAAACACTGTATTTCTTAACAAAGCAAGAATTATATTATAGAAATTTTAAAAAAACATGCCTCTAATACAATAAGGTCCTCTCATGGAGCTAACTCAGAAACTTAGACCACTACATGTATCATATTAAGCTGCTGCTAGGAAACCAGGAATAATTGTTAATTCAAGGCAATTGCAGAAGTATTTGACAGACAGGTACGCAATACCTTTTACACTTAGACACTTGAATGAACTTGGCCTGTCAGATTAAACATCGCTAATAAAAACTGCGTCCTCAGCCTGTGCTATGTCTCCAGCATCCAATTTCCAACTCAGTTCCATCACCACAAATGTTTGCACACTGAACCAAGGGACCTGTCTGCCTGAAAAAACTATTCAAACAAAATAAAAACCTTATTTTTCAGTCAGATCAGTTTCTCAGAGCAGTTAATCCCATGCTTTTGCTGTCACCATGCAAGGAAAACTACAGAGCATAATTGAGCCAGCTCAGGCAACAGTGCCACTAAATGTACAGTCTAACCAAGGTAGGTATTCAGTGACAGATAAACCAACATTTCCTGGGCACTAATACATGCAGCAATTATGTAATTTAAAGAAGATTTTGTGTGCCTGGAGATATGCTTGGGGTTTTTCCTTCAACTGCAACAGCTGGTTTGATAAAATCTCTGGTCCTCCTTTAGTCACAGTTTAAGCTCAACTATAACAATACCACTTCATATTTTATCTTAAGATTGTTGTGTTCTTCAATGAAAACTTTAAATATTTATGTTCCAATTCTGACAAGCTGTGTTTGCTTCTCTCTGAGTCAGAACTGATCCATACCTGTAACATCTTTGGATACACGTCTTCAGGACTATATCCTCTTTTACAGGGCATTTCCCTTACTGCTGGGCCCTTAACAGTTCTGCTTGCATATTTGTTCACAGAAAACAGATGACTAACAGATTATATAACCTGACTAAAAGAAAATTGATGGCCACATACTAAATTTCAAGAATTTTGTAAGAGGAAATACACGGTATGCTCAGCAACCTTTTTTAGTTTTTTGTTTCACTTATCAAGTAAAAAAGCATAGAAAATTTAAAGATGTATTTAAAAGACTGGAAAATATTAGAAGTTAGTAATTCACTACAGCATTTGTCCTTTCTCCTCACTGCATCCAGCCTGAATACAGTGCCACCTGCTCCTAATATCCCGCTGTTCACTCTGACTTCAGCAGCTTCTGGTGTCAAGCATTATTCTGTGTGCTCAGAAGATAGAGACAGACACATATTTTCACCAGCCTGGAATTACCAGTTTCTTGTCTGGCGTTTAATGTCGAGAAGGACAAAAACGGACAGGTTGAAACTTATGCAAGGCTCACTGAACTCTATGTTAAAGCAGAACAGAAGCAGGAAATAAAAGCCACTATAGTTAGACGAAGAAAAGGAGAAGACAATTTATTTTCTTTTTAAAATTTTGGCTTTCAAAAGAAAGCAACATAAGCTGGCTGGTTTAGGTTTGTTTTGCTTCTATATCAATTTTTTTTTATTTGATCAAATGCACTCCATCTCACTCAAAGCCTCAATCTTCACTACAGGTTGTGAAGGCTTTGAAATGAAGGTGCTTCCAATTAAGGCATCTACATTAACTGTAAGACATTAACAGAAGAATTACACAAGCAGTAGAGAAACAGCATCATAGAGGGGTAGATTTTTCAGAACCTCAGACTCTCTACTTTTAACAAATAAAAAGCTAGAGTCTAGATGTCATTTACTTTGCCTTATAGTAAGAACAGTGCGAAAGATGGACTATCCATACAAAATATTTTTTTTCTCATCAGGACAAATCTCAGGTAGGATATCTCTATGCTTCTGTTGCCAGGTGACCTTGCTGAAAAGGAACATTGGCCAGGATATCTCAGCTTTTCAGAATTCCCACCACATCCACTACCCCTGCCTGATGACATAGATTGAATTAGTCTCTTCTCATATTTATTTATCTTCAACCACCAGCCTCTCCACAATTCACTTCCTGGTCCTTAAAAATTCTTGTTTCTTCAGATGCATAGAGCTTCTATGCTTCTGCTTCCACAGTGGCCACACTACATGGACCAGAGTACTTCCTGGTTCCTCAGAAATCCTACATCCATCACTTTGCTACTATTTGATCATTTTCAGAGTTTACAGATTTGATTATTTACAGAGTTCACCCATGCAATCACTCATACCCAGCTCAGTTGTCCAACTCCAAACAGAGCCAGCGGTGTACGGGCTATTTTCCCACAGCGACTCCTACTCGGTAAAACAAATTTCCTATTTTAGTACCATTTAGAAGCTGTGATATTTTGGGAGGAACAAAATATTCCTGTGAGAGAGGGCAAACTGAAATACTTCCAAACCAAGTCCATGCCTTTTCTTACCTTTCTCAAAGACCATTTCCCGGCTCAAGATGGTCTCGTTATCTCTGATCACTTCTCCCTTTACGGTGACCTGTGCTGGGCTGTCCGGCAGCAGAGCTACCCCAACCGTCAAGTTTGCTCCAGGCCTGATGTTCCAGGGAGCTGCCACAAGGAACGTAGGTCTGGAAAGTCCAAACGTCAGAGGGAGAAAGGACAGGGAGTGAAACACACTCTCAAAAAAAGTAACCGCGTCCACATAAAGACGTACGACACATGTTGCCCAGCTCTTCTGCTGCTCTGCGCCGCGGAGGCTGGAGGTGATGCTCGCCCCCGGCCGCTGTGGGTGCCCAGCACGGTGCGCGGGCAGCGCCGCTCTCTCTGCCCGCTCCCGGCAGCGGCTGCCA